TCTGAGGGGCTGGGCATGTTTTGCTCCTGTCCCGTTTGCGAGTTTGCAGCTTTAATGTGGTGCATGTGCTTGTTCAGGACTGCCTCAAATGCCCGAACTTTGTGCATCAGAGGACCCGACCGCACGTTGACCATGTCTCTTACCAAACTTTGTGCGCTGAGGTAAGTTGACTCTCTCACTTAGATGAGTTGTCTGTCCGGCATTGACGTTACTGATGCTATTCTTGACCAGCAATCCCCCTTTTCCCCCCCCAAAAAAAAAATCCAGGAAAGATCAGATTTAACCTGGCGCAGAGTCTCGTCCCCATTAGCTATTCCCGGAGGCGCATGAGGTGTGGTCCAAGAATCAAATAGGGACTGGGATAGGGTAGGGCATAATGAGGCTGTAAAGAGATATGCATGTTAAATGAGTGGACAAAGATATAGTATATGGAGTATAATGTGGGAAAACGTGAATTTGTACATTTTAGCAGGAAAAACTTTAAAAAAAGCATTAGTTATTATTATAGTGAGAGATTGCAGAACTCTGAGATGCAGAGGGATCTTGGTGTCCTAGTGCATCAGTCACAAAAGGTATAGCAAGTAATTGGGTAAGCTAATAGAATGTTATCATTTATTATGAGGGAAGCGGAACTCACAGGAAGGCTGGTTATGCTTCACTTCAGGGTATTCAAGGACCTGGAGTACTGTGCACGATATTAGTCTCCTTTTTTAAGTAAAGATGTTAATGCATTGAAAATAATTCAGAGAAAGTTTACTGCAGTAGTAACTGGAATGGATGGGTTGTACTGGTTAGGTTTGTAACTTCTGGAGTTTAGAAAAATGAGGTGACTTTATTAAACATGTAGAAAGCCTATGTTTTTATTTTTGTCTCTTTGAAAACTGCGGACTGCAAGGAGAAAGAACTTTTTAAGAATTTGCCAGGTTGGCCACATACTTTCACAATTAGGAATGTGATACCTATTGTGAACTCTGTGCAAACCCTTAGCCATGAGAAACAATGTGCAGATGGTCAGGAGTCGAAGAGTCATTTACAAATGAAGCTGATTGGTTCTCAGCTAACTGAACAGGTTGGAACTAGAAACAAGTTACAGATATATAGACGTAGAGAATAGCACACAGTAGCGTGCGCAGTTGTCCCAAGCAGAAGCTGCTTGTTCTCTGCAGTTAAAAAAGTCAAAGTTTAAGCTTGAAGAAAACAAGTTACCTTTCCTGCAGCAGTTGTTGTGAGCTGTGACTTTTGATAAATTCAAATTTTCCGAGACATTTTCCAAGTGAATCAGTCACGCCGTACTACTTACAAGCCAATGGAAGCTTCCATACAAAGACAACTGAGCATTGAGAGACTGGCTGGCCAAGAGCAGATCATTTCAATATTTGTATTGGGAAGCAAAGACCTCTGAACTAACTTTCTAGTCTTTTTTTGCTATCTCTGCCAATGATCTATTTCTCCTACTTGTTTTGTGTGAGAGAGAGAGAGATGGGAAGTTTACTTTTAGATTTTTAGTCAATCGTATTAAATGCAAGTGGTTTATATCTGTTTACTTTTTGCTTTAGTCCAATTACTTACAAGAAATAATAATTCTTGTTTAGTATATAAATCTGGCTGTGCCTTCTATCAGATATGGCCTGAAAGTCAGGTAAATTGGGTTCCTTGTGTACCTTCTTAAAACAAAAATTAGTATTTGATATGACTCCAGAAATAGCAGGGTTTGATTTACATGCACTTCCTAAGTGGGTCACAACAAAGTTTGTGGGCTCATTTGGAATTTGAATTTGACTTTGAATTTGGATTTGACTTGAATTGGGTTTGGTTGCAAACAGAGACAGCGAGGATTTGGGTGTCGTTTGGTAAATAGTACAGGTGAAGGAAAACATCAGTTTCAGTACTGAACTTAAAGCATGTCTTTGGAAACAGCAAAGGATCTCCTGCAGGTGGCAGAGCTGTCACTGCCAGCCTTAAAGGAAATAAAACTGGAGATTGCATTTTTAGCTCTGCCAGACAATGCTGACGTGATTGAGGTACAATCACAGCACTTGGGTTTGGAGGAAATATAAAAAGGCTGAGTACTTCAGGCATTGAAATATTGGAATCAGGTGATATTCACTTACCATTGAAGCAGGTGGAGCAGAAGAGAATGAAGAAACTAGAGATGACAGAAAATATAAGGAAAGTGAGATCAAATTAAGAAAATAGGAAATGGAGATGAAAACACAAGAAATGGAAATTTAACAAATAGAATTACAAGTACAAGGGGAAAGAGAAGAGACAGAACATGAATATTAGCCAAAAATGGTACTGTTTAAACAGGAGACATCAGACACTGATGCAAGCTGTGATGTGGAGAATCTGAGTCATAATTTGAAGTCTCATAAGGAAGTGTTGAAGTTTTGACAGACCCTACCAAAGTTTGAGGAAAAAAGACACTCTTTGTGTCATTTGAGAACATGCCTAAGCAATCAATTGGGCAAAAGAGAACTGGATATTGCTCATGCAGAGTAGGTTGACAGGTAAAGCATAGGAAATTCATACTTTGCTGCCAGGGGAAATTATTTGAGATTGTCATGCAGTACAGATGGCTTTTTTGATGCATGTCCATTATTGCCTGATGAATATTTGCAAACATTCCTGTAAAAGTGCTATCATAGGGAAGAGGATAAGGAGGAACAAGAGTGTCAGATCATAAGAGTAGTGGATAACAAGAGAGAGAGGAGCAGAAGGAGAGAGAGACAGTTCTCGAAGATAGCCAACTACCATTTGACTTGCAAGTATGGAAATACTGAGACAGTTAGTCACTCTGTGTTCTTATATTTAGGATCTTGAAAGACTACTGAGAAAATATGAGGCGATCTGTAGAAGTACACCTGGATGTACTACATTAGCAAAATATGATATAGGTGTAAGAAAGTCTGAACTGAGACAGCAACAACCTTATCTCTTGAGCCCAGAAACATGAGTTCAGTTGGAAACAGATTCACTACATGCTTGATCGTACCTAGTCACAGCAGCTAGAGCTCACCAGTGGTGTTAATTCCTAAAGCGATTGATAAATTAGACTTTTTATAGATAATAGAAAGGTAAATGCGATCATGAGAGAAGATTTGTATCCAATTCCACAATTGGAAGATTGCATTGATAGGGTATGTGCCTCATTCCTTTCTAAGATTGATCTTTTGAAGAGCGCAGGCAAGTGCCATTACCGTGAAGTGCTAAAAAGTTGTGTTTTTGTTGTACCATATGGTGTATATCAATATCGCGTGATGCCATTTGGGTTAGGAGCACCTCAGCCATATTCCAAAAGTTTGAGACAAGTCGTAGCTGGAGTTCACAACCGCGCAGTTTATTTAAATGATATTCTAGTTTACAGTTACACATGGGAAGAGCATATAAGACAGGTCAAAGTTCTGCTTAAGCATTAAAGTTGGTTGGTTTACTGATAAGTTTAGCAAAAACTGATTTTGTGAACATAAGAGTGTCTTCCTTGGGACGTATGGTTGGACAAGGATTTGTGCACCCATGACCGAAAAAGTGCCTTCATATGCCTTCATAGAATTCCCTGTTCCTAAAACAAGAAATCCTGTGCCTTTTAAGAATCTGTGGATTTTACTGGAAATTTGTGTGTAGTTTCAATGCAACTGCTGTACCTATATCAGATTTCCTTTAATAAAAACAGCTAAACTGGAATGTTCAGAAGAATGTCAAACAACATTTGAGAAGCTGAAGGCAATCTTAAAAAATAAACCAGTGTTGGCTACCTCTTATTTTTCCAGACCTTTCAAAGAGGCATTTGAAGCTAATTATTTGCGACTGAGTGCTATCTTGATACACAGTGATGAGTCATGAAAAGAGAAGCCCCTGGGGAATCCTGTAAGAAACTAAACCAATATCGGAAGTAATGTTCTACCATGGAAAAAGAGACTTTAAAATTGTTGTTAGCTCTTCAGTACCGTGAAGTCTTTAACCATCATGGAAATGAGGAAATACTAGTTCATACTGATGCACTATCATTGAGAAGTTCAAAAATCAGACGCAGTCCTGCTATTTGTCAGGAACGATCACTCTCTTTAAAACTTTCATATTCTTTGACCCTGTTTTTGTCTGCTTTTTCCTGTGTTTCCAAATAACAGTTCAGTCAATTGATACCACATACTATTGAGGTATAGCCACCAACTAGTGTGGTAGAATTGAATGAATCGGCAACTAAGATATTCACTGGCAGACTTAACTCTTCAGCCACTAATGCAATAGTATAGTAACGAATTAACACAATCCTGCAATGGCACCCCTCAGTGTCTTTGAGCAAATTCATCCTTGTAGAGGCGTCTGCACTTTTGACTTTGGTAGTTAGTAGTCTTGGAGTCTTCCATTGTCTGTATCACTGCAGAGTTCCCAAAATGGCATGCAAAGATATCTGGTAATGTTGTCACCTTGAAAGCTATTTTTAAGGCAGCCACCATTTGTTGAGAAACAAAATCATTATTATGATATTGAACAACTGT